TATTATTCACATGACTTTTGCGAATAATTCAAGACCAATATTAACCAAATAGGTAAAGGAATTGTTGAGTTATAACATTACAACGAAAAGTGGCATTGATTTTTGAATATAAAGATATTTAAATCTACACATCTTTCTTTATAAGGAACTAAATACTTGCATAATGAAATCAATACAATTGAAAAACTTCAAGTCAAGAATATTGGATAACAGCATCGAAGTTATTCAAAAACTTTGTTTTTATTCAAATGAATTCCCCTCTTCGTAATAATGGAGTCCGATGTTGCTTTTGTAGTGAATTGCAGTGGTTTTAAAAGTTTTTATTTTCAAGTTTCGACTTAATTTTTGCTGTTAAAAAAGAAAGAAAGTGAATAAAGCCAACGAATTATTATTATTAATTTGAATTAAGCATCAAATCCTATTTTGAAAGTCGAAAATGGTGGTGTATCGATCACTCTAAATAGATATGGCTGGATTGGAAAAGATAGGTGTTGTGGTAAGCCATAGACTTAGCCGGTCTAGTGGACCTTAATCAATAAAGCTAAAGATTCACATAATCAAAGCAAGAGCCTCTTCTCATATGGAGAAGGCTTGAGCACAAATCACCACGCTTATTATCGATTATAAATTATTAGTCCAAGTTTCCTCATGGTCAGAAAGAGATAGACTGTCTAAATACTAGACCAAAAGTTAAAACAGCGCCATATTTCTGTGTTAATAACATCTTTATTTTAAAAGTCAGTTAAAAATCTTCAATAAATAAATATCCAACTAAACTACTCGCGAATACACGATAAACTACACTTTAGAAGCTAACAGCTACCTAGTTTAATACTAAACCTTACACTGGGGAAAAACTATGAGCTATGCATCAACCGCTCAATCTAGACATGATTTCAACAAGGGTGGAGTTTGAAGCGAAACTTTGAGAATCGCTGTTCAAAGTTGGACGGAACTAAAGATCGATGAGTTGAGTGATTGAGTGAAAGAAAGAAAATTGTGGGGAAAGGAAAGAAAATACCTACTTTTTTTTACCGTCATAGTTTTGTGCTGTTGTAAATATGTAGTAATGGCTTTTTAAGTTTCTAAATGTTATAAGTCTCGGTTGCGGGATAAGCGCAATGTGTATCCGCGGTCTCGGCCTAAAGCAGGAGAAGGAACGGGGAGGTTTTTAGCCAGTAAGAGTCTGACACTCTCTCTATCGACTTACCCTGGCCGCGAGAAAACATTTCATGATTTCCCCTGACAAAAAAAAGCTTAAAAATCTTCGCTGATTAAGGCTAAACTTATAAAATTCTGGTACAAAATACATCATCATCATCAGCCTATAAGTGCCCACTGCTGAGCAAAGGCCTGTTCTCATACGGAGAAGGTTAGAGCATTAATCACCACTTGCTCAATGTGGGTTGGCGATTTCAAACTTAAATTAGAAATTATAAGTCCAGGTTTCCTCACGATGTTTACCTTCACCGTATGTCAGTGGCGTCTAAATAATCTTAGAACATAAGGTACAAAATACAAGCGTAGGTAATACGGCCATTGGCTATTTTCCTTGTTCACATTAATATAACGACCAGTACAACTTTTTACCGACACACAAAGATTGGAATGAAACAAGCAACAAATACGTTGCCAAAACAAATAAACTAATACAGATACCAATAAATATTACAGCTGACAATTATGTATCATAGTTGTCTCAAAGGGATTACAGGATTAATATTATTAATTTATATTATACATACATCTATATATAGCTGGACATCGGAGCAATTCTAATTAGTGAGCGCCTCTAATCTCAGGGGATCGCATTTCGTCTCAGAAGCTATATACAGTAAGTAATTACACCCCTCTTGTAGTGAATCTTCGAATCGGGTATTATTTTGATTAATATTATAATATTTAGGTATCTTAACGATCAAGAAATTGGGGTAAGTTTGTACAAAGTTATGCAAAAACTATGGAGGTGGAACAGATTATTTTTGTCATCCTGTATGGTTGTTTTCGCTGTCTATGGATGCACAAAGGCCTTTTTTAAGCGTTTATACTGCGTTACTTTTTCTTGACAGAGACATTATCAATGCAAACAATGAAATAGAGGTTTAACCTATCTAAATCAGTCCAGCGGTTTTTGCGTGGAAAATAATAAACTATACCTACGACAAATAATCTATACATTCTCACCTCCCACATTCATCATATTAGTAGGAAGTAGGATATATCAGGGGCTAAAATCTTCCACGCGCGTCTCAACGAGCCAATAGACCACCACAGACGGGGCCCTATAGGGCTGGAGAAGTCATTTGATGATTTTCCCCTCACAATAAAAAAAGTCCTAAAATCTGAATCACAAACTTTATTCAAATAATATTTAAACACCCCAAAAACGTTGAGTACTCATGAAGAGTAACTATATTGAGTGAGGTTTATTGAATTTATTGGCTAATTTACATGAATTAACTAAGCAACTTAGTTTTACGTAACAACGGTTGCGACGCGCACGCTACACACGAATAAGAGTCCCGTTGTAACTTGAAATTAGTAGAGCTTTTGTCAAATTATTCACGTGAGTAAGCATCTCGTTATTTTCAATAAATTTACTCATACATGACCTTAAAAGTTTATCTCCCGAATAATCTTAAAGAAATACTATACCTCCTACCTTAAAAACCAAAAGTTTTCTTTTTTTTCTCGAAATTCTCATGCTAGTGAGATTAAAAAAAGAGAATGTTTGGAATTGTGGTACCCCGTAACCTCGCCACGTTAACAAAGTTAAGTCGTAAAAAGGTACATTAAAGTACGTAATGTCTTCTAACTTAAATTATTCCTTTCGTAAAATTATTCTTTCGTAGGCCAAATGCTTTTTTACGAATAGTTTATACGACTATTCTTTTTTTATTGGTCCTAAAGTTGTGGCATACGAATCGTTTACTAAGATTTTCATCTGATTATTGAGGTGACATCAATTAACATTTTAGTATATTTCTCAATAGGTCTCGCACTCGTAACTCCTTTGGTGTTCAGACACGACCATCAGACGATTCAGAATGCCCACCAAAAGATACAGGCGAAAAAAATGGCGGTCTTTGAGTTCCGTTTTATTCTTTACACGCTAATTTTAATTTTGCCAATTTCCTTTTACGATATTACATTGATTAGTGTCTATTAGCGAAATATAATAACGTGAGAACGATGTGTTACAAAAATGGCCGCTAAAATCGACACACACTGAGTTTAATAGCGAATCAACATCATTTATAATTAAAAACTCAGTTATTTAGTAATTTAATTAATTAATTAAAACTTTAGAACATGAAACAGCTGCCTCATTGCATATTAATAATTTGAATATCGAAATGTATATTCGTAATCACAAATTTATTCAATGTTTTCATATTTAATAATCAGATAAGCAAAAAAGTCTGGTCATAAAACTGAGATTATAAACGTCAATTTTCGTTGTCACATCAATAAAATCAGAGGAAATTAGAATTATATAGATAGTCAATAAAGTTGAAACTGGTTTAGCGAGAAAATTACCAATTATATTTTGTGGGTGATAGTGCTGTGTATGTATAAAAGGGTACTAGGGTTGTACCTTTTCGATCTTGCCAAATAAACCAAAGTTTATTAGAAAAAAAAACTATTAATCAATATATGGATTTTCTTTTTGGTACTTAGATGATTAAAATTATACATACTTGTATGTCCAACCGGAGAATCACAATTTAACGTCAGTAGTGTATCACTACATAGTATAAAAACAAAGTAGGTACCTATGTATGTATGCCAAAACCTTAAAAACTACGCAACAGATTTGGTAGCGGTTCTTTAATAGATAGTGTGATTGAAAAGGAAGGTTTATATGTAGGTATAATAACATTAATTAAATAGTAGACAAATTGATCTATTATTTAGGGTCGCTTGTATATAAAGTTAAATATCAAATAAATGTTTACTTTAGTCAATTAGTAATTAACACTAGTGTTTAGCTCGAAAAGCCGCGAGTTTTATTACTTCAGCAAAAATAAAGTCAAAGAAATAATATTAAACAAGCCGCGAAAATAAGCTAACATTGCTTTATTATTTTCATAATCTATGTTTAAACAGAAATGCGAAGTAAAATGAATGTTATTTTAGCTTTGTTTAATTCATTTATTTAACACGCTCCTCCTTTTGTATATTTATTTAATCCCAGTACCTACTCGTATTTTTTTCTTCTTTGAACCATAATGCTCTTGGGATTTCCGCGTTGATTCTTTTTTTTTGTAAAAGTAAGTTCTTTTTGGATCTTATTCTTTTTTTTTCTGTTTTGATTAGATTTACACTTGAGTAAATTAATTCAATGAAAATTTTATACTTTTAAATGGCCTCTGTTAAAACTTTTGATTATAAATTGAATAGTTTAAAAACTTTCTTTTAGTTTCTTGTCATTGCCAGCCCTAAAATAAAACTAATCGTTCGTAAATGATACAGCGAGGTTATGCCAATTTTACGATTTGGACGAAATAAACGTTCCGTGAGAATTTACCTTTTTACGCGCGCCGCGTAAAGAATCGCCCGTTTTACGCATCACGATTAGGTGTCCCGTTTTAAAATTTGACGATAATTACTGTTTTTAATTACAATCTATATGTTTGTTTATATACGTTAAGTATTTTAATTACTGTAATTCGGAGCGTGTATACAAAGTTTTACAACTAGAAGTAAAAAAGTTGCGTGATAAAAGTACCTAAATCTACGACCGGTTTATCGGCTTTTGGACAATTTTATGTGAGTGATATATTAAATTTAACACTAAGATTTTAGCAAAAGGGTTAAGAGAAAATTTTTATTCTAGCTTATATATAATAATTAAAGACTACACCGCATTGTTTACCTAGTTCCAACTTCCATGAGGGAAATATATTATAGCCGGAATGATTCGCAGAATTTTCTTCGACCTCCAAGAATTTTACGACAGAAAAAAAAACATTAATAAGTAATCTATCATAGCTTACCTCGGCTTATGGTACGTCGGGTTGCTATTAGTCTTGAGTATGTCGGCATTGGGGACGGACGTCGGCAGCGCGTGTTCCCTCTCCAATTCGCTCTCATAACTTTCTAGCGGTACGTGCTTGCCCGGCAACGGATCAGCTGTAAAAAAAAACAAAATTTCAAAGTTAGAATTGCTTTTTGAAACACAGGACAAACTATAAAAATTTTTTTTAGTATTATTGTATCTACATTACATCGCAATAAGATTGTTACAGAGAAATTCTAAATTAGAAAACTTAATGTTATTACTTGACTTAAGACAGAATATTAGGAATTTCGTACAGTAGACTTTAACAGCTTTTCCGTACTAAATTACTGTGATATTTTGTCTCGGTTCCAGACTCACAATAGTAGTAATTTAAGCTCTTAAATAGTCACAGGATATTCGGGCAAATTGCTAGCCAACAGGGATGTCACCCCATGTCAACATGGACCTACGTCGGACCACGTGGGGTTGAATTGGTAGCGTCAGGGGGTTGATTTCGACCCGTCAGAGGGTTGAAAACGGTGATGGATCGATGGTTGTATAACTTGTACTTTATCTAGACTACGTAATTATGTGGCAATGGAATTAATTTTAAATTCTGTTAGGACTGGTTTTTCAATAGTCAGATAAATGTTGTCTGAGGAATAAAATTGTTGCTGTCACTGTCTTATACAAACATTCTGACGCGACAGCATCATAATTATTCCCCAGGTAACTTTTATCGAACTATTGAAAAATTAGCCCTAAGTAACCTAAGCTTCTTGATAACAAAATCATGTTCATTGAAATTCAAATTTCGAAAAATATTCTAACAGAATAATAATAGGTTGGTATGATCGATTTTCTCAAAATAGTAGGTACCTAAGTTAAAACGCCTACATGAAAGATTCTACTTAAATATGATTTAAGAATAATATTCTTGTGAATAGTAATGAGACTTGTAGCGGCGCTTTTAAAATAATAATTACGAAATGTATTCGAGTAGGCTACCATCGTTTATTAAGTGGAATTTCTCCACAGTAATTAGATACAACCGTATATTTAATATTCGAATATTAAATAGCTCCATAAGGTAAATACCAATTTATTAAAAAGCTCTGAGTTCGGCATATTTTATTAACATTTCAACATAAAAGCAACTCATACAGGAAAAAATGAGAAGAACGAATAACGTTGAACAATTAACATTAATAAATTAAATGTACATTTTGAATATTATAATTAATATAAAAAACTATAGCAAAAAGTTTGAATCACAATTAATATTTCGTAATGGCGCGTAATTATTTGGCGCGGAAATTATCAATCAAACGTCACATTTGAATAAAGAATGTTTGATATTTAAATTTGGAATGTATTATATGGCTTTCGTTGTATTCGAACAAGAATTGCCATGTTTAAATTAAATGTTCAGAATACAGAGAAATTGGAGTGATATAAGTGTGTACTTTGACGTCACTTGTTATTTATCAAGCAATATATTTCCTCCTGGAAATTGTAATTGAGGGCAATATTATTTACATTTATAAAGTTGAAGAAAGATAATGATTGGTTCTACCGTATTATTTACGTAAGCACAAAACGTAGATAAATAAAAAAACGATTATATGTGTACCTAATAACATTAATGTAAAATAAAATGAAAGATTTATCAAACAATACCCACGCGCCATTTTGAAAACCGTTGCTCAATCAAATTTCGAACATTATCATTCTTAGAGACAAAGGAACGAACCTACACAGCCATTCATCCAGTATCGCATAACATATCAAATTAGAAATATTTGCTGTTCTCACAGGTTATCGAATTTAGAGTTCAGTGGAATGAGATAAAAGCCATTGTTTAACGGTCAGGTCAATAGAGTTCTATTACGATGTTTACTGTTTATGAAGTGAACTCTTTGTTCTTTGACCTACTTGATTAGTTTAACATTTTGTAGAACAACTTTTTAATGTGATCGAGAATCTCCGCTCACTCGCTTAGAAAGCCTAATATGGTTAAGAAAAGTGCTTTATTTCTCTTTATATTCATTGTTTGCAATAGTTTATTGCAAAGTGGCCTTATTATTAGAACTAACTTTATCTAAAAAATCAACATTCATAGCAAATATATTCTTTTATTTAAGTACCTGTGTAATTAAGTGAAAATTTTATCTTTTCCTCTCCAATCAATATCAACCAGTAAGCTAACAGAATAAAACAAATAATTCTTTATGCGCAAACATTTTTCACATTATATTATCTGTGCCAGTGTGGCCCATCGTAGCCTATATGGCAAATCGATGACAGATTATACATATAAATATTGACGTAATGATTTGGCAGGAACGGATTGAAGGGTTCTTTCATTGGAGGGAAAAATGATATCATAAGTATGTGTCATAAAAGTTCGTTGACATTATTAATCAACAAACAGTAATTGCTTAGGTATTTTATCAAAGAAATACATACCTACATCCAATGCTGAGAGACTTAAGACGATTCGCACATCAAGGTACTCTTAACGTTGAATTAAATTTGAACTTTAAAATTTTTGTCATAAAGTCGAAAATCAATTAAAAACTTTTGACAGGTTGGTGTAGCTTCATTTGCCATGGCGATCGTGCCATTTCTACGTACTAAGTCTTTGTTTGGCATATTGCGTACTACATACTGTGACTAATGATTGATTTATAGCTTTCATAATGTTAATATAGTCAGATGTAGGTACCGCATACACTTCTGCTTCGCCCTCAGGCAAAAGAAGTTAGATGATTATATTACAAGACCACCAATTATCTATTTAGATAGAAAAAATAAATAATAAGCCCAAGGGCAACGGTAATAAGTTTGAAATTTTCGTAGAAAGAAAATAACGTACTGACGCTCCGAACTGAACAATAAGTCGGTCTGTTGGTGGCACAATCCATTACTGGCAGCGCGATTTGACAAGCAGTTGACATAGTGTGTTTTTCTTTCAATATATATTTATCTAAAAATATTCTACCGTTACTCCATTTAACAAAGTAAAAACTCTTTATTCATGGCCTCAATAATGCTTTTAAAGCCAAGCGTAACTTCAAAATAGAATAGAGAAAGTAGTTCTTTCGAACGACGCAATCCATTTTTAAATTTGTAAAATGTATTGTTAGTGTTTTGTTTATGACTGGGGTAATGAGGTTGCGTCGAAATGCCACTAGTGTTGACAATGGCGCTAGTGTATTTTAAAAACTGTGCCTGATTTTCGTTGTTTCGAAATGATTGAGTATAGAAACTTGATTATATGCGTGAGTCATTGCTTCTCATGTTCGTTGGCCTAGTAACCGAACATTAATTATTCACTATGCGATCTTTGACCTGGCAATCACTGAAGATATGTAATCGGATAGTCAATGAATGGCTACCCATTTACGTTCGAGAAAATACAGTGACCCAAAAATAAATGGCTAAATTAGCTAGCATTCCAACATTATTATACTGACATGGTAAATAAATGCAGGATTCTGATAAAAGATTCTAGATTACGGATCTATTTAAAATGTAGGTGTTTAAGATTAAATACTGGCAACACTGTGCACCATAATTAAAAGGACATGGCCAACTTTTGTATGGGCGTTTGCATAGTTATTGAATTCAATGTACATCAATGATTTTTGGTGTTTACATTCGTGAATATTATTAAATTAAATTGCAATAAATAAAACACATGAAGAACTCGTAATTATAACAAACAAGACGAAAATAGTTTCACTAAACCTTTAGTCAGATTACTGGCCATAAGTGCACGAAATAAGATTTTGCTTTTAAAAACCATGGCGTTTTATTTAATTATAAAATAAAACAAAAGAATATGTGTAAAGAACAATGATTTATTTATTAAGGAGAACAAATAAAATAAAACTACGTTATAATTCACTTTTATATTTTTATTATAAAGTGTATTTTATTGTGTTTGTGCATGGAATGTACGTTTCTGTAATATATATTCTGTGTAATTGGGTAATAATATGGTATTACTTTCCATTTGAAGCGGCCTGCTTAAAACAGGTGGTAATCGTGGTGGCTCTGGTGGGCTAACCACTTGAATATAAGGGGCTGCTGCATTGTTGTCCGAACCCAATTCCTGCAAGTTTCGTGATAAGTCCTGCACTGTCTGTCTATTTGCCCGCATACAGCACACATGACAAACATAGTTGCTTCTTGAGGTCTGAAAATAAACCCCAGTTAGAATAAACACATGTTTTCAAGTTTTATGTTATTGTACAGTGAGAAGTATTATGTTACAACATGCCTACTTTAAAGAAGTCTATGCAAACATGGAAAATACATAAAGATAGATATTATAATCACACATACCTACTATGAGTACTTTTTTTTACAGATTAACCGCTAGTCTGCCGTTATATGAGACACAATAGAAAACACATTGTGTCTCGCGTATATCTGCGCTCCGGCATACCACGAGTTAATATAGATAAATACAAGTACATATATAAAACAATGAATAAAAAACAAAATGCTTACCACATTAATAGTATTTTGTGATATTAGGCCAGCTAGCAATGGAGAGTCCATACTGACATTATGGTGTCTTATTTTTCGAACCGATTTTCCACAACTAAGGCAAGCCATGTTATGCCCCAGTAGTCTCTCATGTTCACCAGCCTCAGTATTCAACAATAAGAAGCGTGGTTGACAAATGAATGTCCCCAGAGGCAACTAAAAAAAAGATGCACTATTTAAAATCGCATACCATTATAAAACATAAAAAAACAAACTAAGTATTATACTATTCCGACTTCATACCTGGGTTTGAGCTATGGTTAACCAACGTGAAAGTTTTGTGTGATGGTGTGCAGAAACCGAGGATATAAGACGCCTCTGCAGCCTTTGTACGCCTATTCCGCAGTTGATGCACCTCATCGTAATCCACAAAACAAATCCAAAACGCAAAACAGTTACTCCAGTATTATTAGCAGTTACTCCAGTAATATTAGCAAGGTTAACAAAAACACGCTGTCAAAAGTGTCAAACACGTTCCGTTTCGTTTAAGTTTTGTTTTTTTTTTTGGTGAATTGGATATAAATAAAACATAATATTATTATAATATGAGTATATTTTAAAATGCAACTAA